GCGTGGCGATATAACGCGCTGGAAATTCCCAACGTGGTGATATAACGCGCTGGAAGTTCTACGCATGGCGATATAACGCGCTGGAAGTTCCAGACGTGCCGATATAACGCGCTGGGAATTCCACGCGTAGCAATATAACGCGCTGGAAGTTCCACACGTGTCGATATAACGCGATGTAAATTCCACGTGTGGCGACGTATCTAACTCGTGATACATCTGTCAGTACTCTGTCAATCAACTATTACAGTACACTAATTAAATTGTCACTTGATTATAAGATCATCAGTTACCAATTGATTATAAGATATCGAAATCTCTGAATTTGAAAGTATAGTTCAATACTTGTGGTGTTATTTGTCGAATTGTGCTACACTAAAATAGCATCAGTGTACACACAGACGTGTGTGAAAGTGGCAATATAATTAGAGTTTATCAAATATTGAACCACCCGTCTCGCCAAGTAAAAAGTTAAGTACCTATTTACTCAAAAGTGTGAAATCTTCCACAAGTCCTTCCTCAAACCATAAGTTTATTTGTGACAGAGTGACCCTAACTTAAAGGTTAGTAATAGCTGAGTGATCTAGTTTCGTCTATCAAAATATGCAAAAGTTTCCTCAAAGATTAGCAATGTAGTTGTCAGAACGATAAAAGCAATCGAGTTCTGGTCACAATTGCAATTTATCTAATCGAGGATGGTAATAAATAGAAAAGAATTCATACCTTAGATAGTACTCGATGAGAGCGTTGATTGGGGGAGAGAAGAACATTCGATTCTTCTGGAAGATTTACGATTTCGTTCATGATCGATAATCAGATTGTCAAAAACGATTTTCGATAGCACCCTTCTCGATAACGTTCTCGAATTCTCGCGACGGAAATCACTGGTCGAACACCGACGACGTTCTAGACACGAATAACGGAGGCCACGACTGTTAATCACAGCTGTTGAAACAACTCCGAGTTCCGTGCAGATTCATCAGGTCCCCTATCGTTACAAAACACGTTTCCTCCGATCATTCGATCGCGATTACATCTACGTATATTGCTGAGAATCGACACGAGCCGAGTCGCGATCGAACTGGAATATTAATTTTACTAACGGAAGCTGTGTTTGTGCGGTCGCGGAAAACACGCGCGGCCCAACTGATGCCAGCTTAAGATTATGTATTTGATTAGCGCAGAACTGTAGCGCTATATCGGGACGGTGACGAATTCCTATGCATTCGAGCTTTTATCAGTCGATGCGCATTTTTTTTATAACTTGAACTATCCGTTACTTGCTCGGTGTGGTCGAGACAAGATGGCGGACTTATAGGGTGTCTGAAAGTCAACGCTATAGTGACATGAAGGATTTTATTCTGCATAATAAACATTACAGACTTTTGTTGACAGCTTTTTTGTAAACACCCTGGAAGTTCCATGAGTGGCGATATAACGCGATGGGAATTCCACGCGTGGCGATATAACGCGATGGAAATTCCACGCGTGGCGATATAATGCGATGGAAAATCCACGCGTGGCGATATAACGCGCTGAAAATTCCACGCGTGGCGATATAACGCGCTGGAAGGTCCACGCGTGGCGATGTAACGCCTAGAAATTGCACGCGTGGTGATATAACGCGATGGAAGTTCCACGCGTGGCGATATAACGCGATGGAATTCCACGCGTGGCGATATAACGCGAGGGAAAATCCACGCGTGGCGATGTAACGCGCAGAGAATTCCACGCGTGGCGATATAACGCGCTGGAAGGTCCACGCGTGGCGATATAACGCGATGGAATTCCACGCGTGGCGATATAACGCAATGGAAATCCTACGCGTGGTGATATAACGCGATGGAATTCCACGCGTGGCGATATAACGCGATGGAAAATCCACGCGTGGCGATGTAACGCGCAGAGAATTCCACGCGTGGCGATATAACGCG